TTTCCCCCTGTCCTTTACCCACTGGGAGTCCTGGTGTAGTGCTGTGGATTGATGCGCCACACTGTAAAGCCACTTGAACTGCAAGATCCGGGGTTTAAGCTCACCAGCTGCTCCTTAGAAACCCTATACAGGGTCGCTATGGATCGGAACCGACTTAATATTAACAACAGCCCTTCCCCACTCAGTGTATAGATTTCAATGTGGGCAACGTCCTAGGATGTCAGGGGGGTCAAATGATAAGACACAGAGTCTCTTGAGGGGGGGGGGTGTCAGTGGAATCCTCTAATCCAGAGGTCCTCACCTAGGACGAATCTGCCCTTAAAAAAGGACACTGGGTGATGTCTGGGGACATTTATGGTTATCCTAACCAGGTGGCTTGCTACTGGCGTCGAGTAGGTGGCCTATCGCCCCCTTGTGGACAGATCGGACCCAGCAGCAGCCTCTCCTGTTTAAACCTCCCATCCCACAGCAGAAAGTGTATGGTATTCCCAGGAATTGTTTCTGACGAAGCTGGGCTCAGCAGACGCTGTGGGGGGCTCAGCCCCAGGTTGGGGTTCAGCTTAGAGTTACTTCAGCCAGGGGTTGTGGCCCAGTAGCGTTAGGACTCAGCCAGGGTCAGTGGCTTATTTTGAGGTCGGAGGTTCAGTCTAGTTTTGATCTCAAGGAAATCCTGCGTTTTCCAGTCATTAGCCCCCTTGTGGGAAGCAATTTTTCACCTTGGGGACTGTCTCAGCATCGCCGGGCATCTGCCATCCTTGGGCCCCCACTAAATGGCAAAAAGGGGAAGGGGGGCCGCTGGTTCGTGACCCCTCCAAACGCCCCCAAACATTTCCAAGCGCCCCCTAGTGGAAAATTCTCTGCCACTGTGGAGAGGGAAGTGGAGGCAGACCCTTTCCCTCCCTTGTCCCCCACCATCCCCTGCAGAGGGAGACCCCAGAACTTGCACAGAGGAGTCTCAAAAGACACACCCTCGGGCCTTCAGGAACCCCCAAGTCCAAGGGAGAAAACTCATCCATCTTCACTAATTCAGAGTAAGAGTCATTAGATGCTTTCTGGAGTCTGGGTCCTGGGCTGAGGACTTTTCACATGTTTCATTGAATCCTCACAGCAACCTTATGAAGGGTCAAGTTATTATCACCCACTCTACCTGGCAAGACACTGAGGCACAGAGAGGTTAAGTTCCCTGCCCAAGGTAACACAGCAAAAACATTGGGACTCCAGCTCCTCTGTGGAGCATGGCCAAGAGTGAAGAAAAGGAAAAAAGAATGATGCGGCACCCCACCCAAGCCCCACAGCCTAAAGGCTTCCACAACAGCACCCTAATACTCAGCTCATACTGGGGAAGCACCCAGATCCCTCAGGAGATGGCCTGGCCATTGAGCCAGCTCACATTCATGAACAACAAAGCAGACTGCAGGGGGAGGTTTGGTTTGTCCAAGGGTCACTCAAAGATTACATGCTTCCTCCACAACTTCCTTTGATTGCAGCCTCAGACCAGAGAAAAGGGGAGTGGGGCACCCCTGTTCCAGGTGACTCCTATTGATTCATTGAAGCAGGACCTCAAACAACCTTAGAGGTAGGAGGGTGGGAGCAGCCCACAGATCAAGCAGTAGAAATCAGGCAGAGGTGGGAAGAGCCATCAGGCAGTGGATAAGATACATGTCTGAGATGAAGACAAAGTTGAGATCTAAGAGAGTGGGGATATTTCAGGGCTATGGAGAGCACCTTATTCAAGGATGTCCTCCAAGTTTGAGAAGGAACATCAGGTGGACCCAAGCTTGGGAACACTTTTGGGAAGGAGGTATAGAAAGTCCTTGTAACACCCAAAGAGCCCTCCTTGGGGAGGCAGGGTATTTCCTGAGCCCCCTTCACTCACAGACACCACTTTAAATCCCAGATGAAATCCTCTCTCTCTGGCCCCAGATCAGCGTGTATGGGGAGCATTAAGGCATCTCTGGGGGGCTGCCTGGAGGAGGGCGGGGGCTTTCACATGGAAGGACTCTCCATTCTTTGATGGTTTAGAGACACCTCTTTCTCTTCCAGCTCCAGCCCCAAGTTGCCCTCTCTCTACTCTTCCTCCTCTGCACCCCTTTCTCTTCATTTCTGTGGAAACAGAAAGAACCCGGATGAAAACATTGATAATCACATTTCCTCAGGCCACTCACAATGCTCCGAACAACAACGTCTTTGTTGTTCCCATTTTACAGAGAGGAAAACGAGGCTCAGATAAGTTAAGACACTTACTTGCTCCCAAGTGACCAGCAAGGAAGTGGTGGTTTACCATTGTTCTTAACCTTGAACCTCTCTGTCTTCCTGGAACCCTAAGCAGTGTGGATGTGTGGACAGAGAGCTGGGTGAATGGACAGACTGAGGGGTGGGTGGGATGGGGGTGGGTGGGTGCACAGATGGGTGTGTGAATTAACAAGGTGTAAAGTGAATGGATGGATGGATGGATGGATGAATGGGTGGATTCGTGGATCAATGGTGGCAGGTGGGTTGGTGGATGGAAGGATAGATTTATGGGTAGATGTAGGGAAGGATGATGGATAGATGAATGCAAGGATGGATGGATGAATGGGTGGGTTAGAAGACGGATAGCTAAGTGGATGGATGGGTTGGTGGCTTAGTGGGTGGATGTATAGACAGTTGGATGGATGGATGAATGTAAATTCCTCAGTAGAAGTGGATGGAAGTGTGAAGGCAGAGGTGATCGTAAAGACCTTGAAAATGTGGTTTAGAAGATGCGTTAGGAACTAGGTTCTCGGTGAGGAAGCCCACTCGTTTTTGCAGACAGGTGGTAGGAAGAGAATCAAAGTTCCAGGCCCTGCCTTACTGAGGCCCCTCCACCACTCCTCACTCAGGGAACCACCTGCAAGAAGGGAGAGTCAGACAGACAGGAAGGGGCTCACAGTGGGAGGGGCTCAGACAGTGAAAGATACACCTGTCAGTGGACTGCCTGCACCAGCAAGGACGAAGACAAGGAAGAGGAGAGCGAACGCAGCTCCCAGAGCCACCAGCCACAGCTTCCTCTGGGCTACTGCAGGGAGGCAGAACCAAATCATCGACCAGGGGCCCGAATGAGGGACCCTCTTTCCCTACCCCCTTCTGATCCCCCTAGGTCATACAGGACTGGGCCCAAGCTGGCCGCAGGACCAGAGCCATCAGAAGGGAGAGTTGGCTGTGGGTCTTCCAGATGCCATCCATCCTGATCCGTCTTTGAGAAGCCAGAGGCGGAAGTGGCCTGCCCAGGGCACCCCAGAACAGGGTGTACCCGCTACAAGAGGAAGTGGTGGTGGGTTCTCCTTCCTGGGTTCTGGGTAAACTAGGGAGGGGTCATGGGGGCCAGTAAGTCCAGTCTCAGGCCCAGCCCTGCCATCTCCTGGCCCATTGCCAGAGCCACGGTTGGGGAAGGAGGGATCCCTGGCTCCTGAGATAAAAAGGCTCATTTCCTGAGTACCCACGAGTGCCAGCACCTCCTTTAAGCCCCACATAACTTTGAGTGGTTACGACTCTTGGCAGGAACCGACTCAAGGTTCAGAGGTGGAGGCATCTTCCCAGGCACACACAGCATTCCACAGGGACACAGCTCTTGGGCATCCAGATGGAAAAGCACATGGAGGAGAGATGTCTCCTCCCCTCCCCTAAACCCTCTCCTGTCCTATAAGGTGAATCTCCAAACTTGGCCTTAGCTGGAACACAACACCCCATCCCTCAGGCAGCTTTGGGGGCCCAGTTGCAATTCTTCCAACAACACCCAGAGAGACCTGGCCCAGTGCTTTCATCTCTGGTCCTCGGTGTCGTAAGCTGTACAATGGAATGAGTTAGGTGGAGTAGGAGATGAGAGAGTAAAGACGCTGGGTCTCACTGGTGATGTTTTATTAGGACCTTTCAGTTGTGATTTGTGTTTGGGGCTTTCCGCCCCCTGGTGGACGAGCCTGGAAGTGTTTGGGCAGAGGCTCTTGGCCTTCTGAGTTGGGTCCTCCCAGAACTCCAACTTTTGTTGATGTTGTTTGAGATACTGTCAAGATGATTCCAACACAACCCCCGTGTGTGCAGAGTAGAACTCTGCTTCTTGGGGTTTTAAAGGCTGTGAACTTTCAGAAGCAGCTCTCCAGACCTGTCCTGTAAGGCACCTATGGGTGGGGTGTCTAACCACCAATCTTTCAGCTAATAGTCAAGCGTGTAACCATTGTGATATCTAGGGACTCTGAACGCCAGCTGCCTGCCTCAAAGTCCAGGATTGATGTAGCTCCTCCTTAGGAACCAGCTGATGTTCAGGACAAGGTTCAGTTATGGGCAGAAAGTGAGGAGGGGCAGGCCGGAATTCCAAAGAGAAAGTGCTCTACGCCCCCATTACCAAACACCTGATCTCCCTAAACCAGGGCAGAGAGGGCAGTAATTTCCCAGGAAACCATGCTGAGCATTCACTATGGGCTCAAAGTCCAGGGCAGCTGGGCTCAGGCCAGTAGCATAAGCCAGATTGCAGAAAGAGGGAGTGTCGAGTCAGTTCCCTGCCCAGGCATTGCCCCCACCCTCAAAGGCAGCCTTGCCCAGGGGAGACTGAGTCCCAGTGACCACAAGAACCCTTCTAAAGGACTCTCATCACTTCTTTACTGAGACCAACAAGGAGTAACACCTGGTCAATGTGGGTTCTAAGGCTGTGTGGGAGGAAGGAGAGGGTTCTGGGTAATAGAAATCAGACAGCGGGTCTAAGCAGTGGAGCCATGAGACCGTGGGGTCTGAGGGATCCTCCTAGTCCAGAGCTGCTCTCCAGCTGCAAGAAGAATCATGAGGTGCAGCTTAAACTCAGGAACAGGTTTGGGAGTCAGGTGGGAACAGACCAGGTACTGGCCAAAGAGCGTTCATGAGGGGGTAGGGACACTATTCTGTATCCCACTGGAGTTGTCTCACTGGTTCAGGCCCGAGTGTTTGCTTCGAGGGTGTGCACGAGACTTGGGGGCTTCCCTGGGTTGCTGCCTGGAGGAGGTGGCGGGGAGTCTTCACATGGCTGTGTTCTTCCCTTCCTTGTCTCTGGGCTTGTCTTCCTCCTCCACCTCGAGCCCCAAGTTGCTCTCTCCTTCCTTCGCTTCCTCTCTGTCCTTCTCCTTAGTCCTTTTCTTCCTCTCTTCTTTGCTGTAGGGATGCCAAAGCCCCAGATCAAAATAAGAATCAGGGTCATCAGCACTTAACCTGTGCCAGGCCTTTGTGAGGAGTGTTTTACAAGCAGTCTGCTCCCCTCCCCCACATCTGGGCACTCATGATGTTCCAAACAGCCCAACATAGACGGCCTCCCGAAATCCAGCTGACAAAGGTGACTCTCAGGCCCAATTGCTGCCACCTCTGGGGGAATGAGTAGATGTATACACAGACAGTGGATGGGTAGATGTGTATTTAGGTGAATGGATGGTTACTTGGAGGGATGAATGGGTAGGTGAGTATTTAGGTAAATGGATGGTTACTTGGAGGGATGAATGGGTAGGTGAGTGAATGGATTGTAGGAAGGAGAGAATGATGGGCAGATGAATAGATAGGTATGTGTCTGCGTGGGTGGATGGATGGATGAATAGCTGCAGGGATGCCAGTGTAGATTGAGGCTGAATTAATAGATCAATCGTTTATTGGGTGGATGGATGGTTGCTGTTTGTCATTGTGTGCTGTTGAGTTGGGTCCTACTCATTGCCACCCCGTGTGGTGTTTCCAAGGCTAATAATAATCTTTACAGGAGCAGAGAGCCTCATCTTTCAGCCATGGAGCAGCTGGTGGATTCAAACTGCCCACCTTTCATTCAGCAGCCCCACACGTAACACACTACACCACCAAGTGGATGGTTGGAGGTTGACAATTGAAGAGCCATCTATATGGATGAATGTGTAGGTGAAGGAATGGGACTGTGTGGATGGATGGTGAAGGAATGGATGGAGAAAGGGAGGGCTGGAGGAAGGATAGATAGCAGTATAAATGGGTGGATGGATGCATATCAGTGAGTCAATGAGTAGAGGGTGGTTGGAACCTAAAACTGTATAAATGTGTGGATGGATGTGTAGGTACCTGGTGAAGGAAGTATGTAGAAGGTGGGTGGATGGATGGATATAGGGATGAATAATGGCTGGAGAGATGGAGGGATGGGCTGAGGGAGGAATGAATAAGGCAAAGAGGAAAAGCCAAGTGCAGAAACACCATGGGATGTAGACACACACACACACCGGGACAACCTGGGAGTAGAAACCACATTTTACTGGTGCTCAGCTGGGCTGGGGCAAAGCAAACAGTCAAACCTTCATCTCTCCCCCAAACACATCTTGGTCTCAGTGAGAATCTTCCAGTGAGGCTGGTCTCTCCCCAAGCCCACACTCCTGCTGCTGTGGGATCTTGTCCCAGCAGAGCCCTCACCCCTGACCACCTCCCTGAGCCCCCCACCAGAATCATTATGTCTGGTCACAGTTGGGACCTTAGAGGACCTTGTCTCCCAGAGAGTGCCCACACCAAGTCACATGCATGCACACAGGTACCCTCACGGTCCCACATTGTAGTCTCCCTCAGTGGGAGACTATAATGTGCCTACTACGTGCCCTGTGTCCTGGGCACCAGGATATAGTGGGGACCTATGGGAGGCCAAGGTCTGGAGGTCAAGAAACTGGTAAAAGACTCATAATTTCAGCTGGTGGTAAGTGCAAAAAAGAAACTGAGGCAAGGCTATGAGACAGAGAGTGTCTGGAAGGCTGGTGGTCAGAGTGGACCTTGTGAAGGGGAAACATTTGAACAGGCACTGAAAGAAAAGGAGCTGGTCAGAAGATACAGGGAAAGGTGTTCCAGGCAGTGCAAAGGCCCTGAGGCAGGATGTGCTAGAGAAATTCAAGGACAGCAAGGGGTCATCCTCCTCCATGCACACCTGTGTCCCTCCAAGGTGGGAGCTCAAACAGACGCCTGCACATGACATCTACACACACTCATAGTCAGTACCTCAAGTCCAAGTCCTGGTATGGCTTGGGGGATTGCATGCTGAACATATTCTCCTCCTCATCCTTGTCTCTGCAGAGAAGGTGGAAGCAGGGACTAACCTCAGCCTCCATCCCTCCCCCACACTGAGGCTTGTGATCTCCAGGACATAGGAAGGGGTGGTCCTGGATTGTGGGGTGGGGTGCCAGGGAGAGCAGGAAATAGGGAGGCCAGAAAATGCCAGGAAGAAGAGGGGCTGAGACCCAATGCCAAAAGAGGGTCAGGGGTTTGGGAGGGGCTGCTACACTCCAGCCAGAGGCAGGAGTGGCCACTGAGGGTGAGGAGGGCCAGGGGGCTCTGCAGACAGGAAGGGGATCCCACCTCACTTTGGAGCACCAGATGCGGTTGACGAGCATGAGAACAAACACGATGAACAGGAAACCAACCACTGCTGCGAGGCCCACAAGCCATGGCTTCATGCGGTATTCAACAGCTGTCAGAGAAAGGTGGGGCCAGATGAGGAAAAGCAGGGGACCAGGGCCAGGGGAGAGGAAGAGAGGTACTGGGGAGGCACTCAGACAGAGAGGGACTTGGAAAGGGATGGGCCTCAGAGAAGGAGATGGAGGGGACCTCAAGGGAAGGAGCTTCATAAAGGAGGAGGGGGCTCAGAGGGGAGTCATTATAGGGTGCCCTCACATTCATTCCTATTCACAGTGACCCCACGTGACAGAGTCCAACTGTCCCCATGAGGCATCCTAGGCTGTGATCTTAACAGAAACAGATGGCGGGGTCTTTCACCTTCAGAACTATAGGGTGGGTTCAAAACTTTTTGGTTAGCAGCTGATCCCCCAGACCTCTTCCCAGAGAGGGAAGGGGCTTTAAAGGAGTCTTCGAGGGGGCTCATACGAGGGGAGCTCATAGGAGGGGTTTTGCAGGGGCAGGGGAAAAGTTGGGGGGCTTTAAGAAGGGCCTGACCCTATTCCCTTTCTTCCTGCTCCAAAGATGATAATCCCATGCCCCCCTTCCCAACCCGACCCTGAAGGTCGCCCCTACCCTGCTGAGCCTCAACCGGTGCAAGGAGCAAGATGAGGAGGGTGCTCCAGGTCTCCATGGCCAGCCAGTCCGTGAGAGGTCTCTGGTTCATGTCCACAGGCCTGGTGGTGGGCCTGTCTTTGTACAGTCCACCTTCCCAACCAGCTCCTGCCTTTCCTTTCCCAGGACAGACTCTGGACTCCTGTAACAATTAACTTCAGGGCTGGCTCCACCCCCTGCCACCAGCCCAGAGCCATCCCACGACTGTGGTCCAGCAACATGACTGGTGTTTCCTGAGGTCCACCTGCCCAGGTGTGAACTAACAAGCTGGACTATGTTGCTGTTGTTAAGCGCCTTTGAGCAGGTTCCGACCCATAGCGACCCTGTATAGAGTTTCTGAGAAATAGTTGGTGAACTTGAGCAGCTGAAACAGTTCCAATGGCTTTGCAGTCTGGAGCATTATCCCACAGCCCCACAGCAGGACTCCAAGCTGGAATCTAAGGAAGATAAAATACAGAGTTACTTTGTTGCTTACACAGTTACATTGTATTTCCTTATACAAGCACACACACTAGGGAGACCAGGTAGCACAATGCCTAAGCACTCAGCTGCTAACTAAAAAGTTGTCAGTTCAAACCCACCGGCTGCTCTGTGGGAGAAAGGATGTGACAACTTGCTTCCATATTGTTGTTGTCGCTAAGTGCTGTTGAATTATTTATAACTCATAGTGACTGAGGGGTGGCTGGTAGGTTTGAACCATTGACCTTGTGGCTAGCAGCCCAATGCTTAGCCTACAGTGCCACACCAGGACTTGTCCATAAAGATGATAACCTTGGAAACCTATCGGGCCATTCTGTGGGAACCTACAAGGTCGTCATGAGTTGAAATGGACTCGAGGACAGTGGACTTGGTTTGGTTTTTCTTGAGAAGACCCAAGTTCGATTCTACCCAATGCATCTCATAAGCAGCCACCACACATATGTCCATAGAGGCTTCTGTGTTCCTAAAATGCTAAACAAGTTTCAGCTAAGACACTAGGAAGAAAGACCTGGTGATTCACTTCTGAAACTCAGTCGAAAACTACACAGAAATGTCAGAGTAGGATGTAAACCCAGACCCAGCGTCTCCCTCACCACCAGGTCACACTCTCCCTTCCTGGCTCCTTGTCCCTGGGCCCCCAGATGAATCCCACATGAGCTGCATGCCCACCATTCACCTACAAACTTAGATGAGTCCATGTGACTAGTGAACTGAGGATATCCTGGACAGCCAGTGATTCAGATTTCTGCCTCTCCTATCCTGGTGACCTTGACCATGGGCTGATTAGATAGTGGGCCCTGCCTGGGCAAAGGGGGACCCCACCCCAATACCGTGGGAGCAGGCACAGCCCAGGCACGTGCCAGAATTGTATAGCAGGGACCCACCCCCACTCTAGACCTGTGAGACTTCTGCCCCGCCCTTTGGGTTCTGCACTAATACCAGCTACATTCTCATGTGCGTTTATGGGATATTCACTATATGCGTGGTCTTGGGTAGCCAGGAGAGGGACCTCACCTGTCCCAGATCCAGGACAAGTGTTAGGCTCACTCCCACCAGCCAAGAAAGCATCTACCTGTTATATGCTCAACTCTGGACAAAGTTTGAAAGCAGACAAGCCTCAGCTCTTTCCTTAGTGGAGTCGCAGTCCAGTTGGAGAGTCAGGATACCCAGAGACAAAAGGACCCAGACCCAGACAAGGTGGGAGGTGGGCGATGGAGAAAGTGTGGGTAGGAGGGGCCTAGGGGGCATGGGGGCAGATCCCTCCTGGGAGCTTTTTCCGTGTAAAATTCTCTACTACTGGACCTTTGCTAAATCATTGACCAGCTCTGTGCCTCAACTTCCCCATCTCTTAAGTGGGGGAGTGAGGAGTCCACCCCAGGAAGGTTAAAGGAGACATAGAAAGGGTTTACTCAGCACACTGGCCAAGGACTCAGTGATATTAAGGCCAGTAGGGCTCAATGGTAGGATTCTCGCCTTCCCTGCAGAAGACCCGGGTTCAATTTCCAGTCAGTGCAACTACCACCATCTGTCAGTGGAGGCTTGCACATCACTGTGATGCTGAACAGGTTTCAAGAGAGTTTTCAGACTAAGACTAGGAAGAAAGGCATGGCGATCTACGTGTGAAAATCAACCAATGAAAACCCCCTGGATCCCAATGGTCTCATCTGCAATTAGTCAGGGGCTGGTATTTAGCTGGATATAAGTTTCCAAACTGCACTTGGGGTTGCCAGGAGGCACTCAATGGTAACTCACAGAACAAAGGGGAACTAGTTACTTTTACAAAATCTGACCCGAGTTCTTGCTTTACAGAGGGTCAGACTGGGTGAGGCGGAGTGGGGTTAAGCTCCTGGGGTGTGGGGGAGGCAGGAGCGTGGGCATGACCAGAAGTTGCTGGTGGAGACCTAGAGCCCTTCTCCTGCCCATGGCCAGGTTAGTGAAGAAGGGCTCAGTTAGCACAAATTCCATCCCCCCAGCCTCCCAAGGGGCCGGAGTCCAGGGAGGGTCTGCAGAAGGGTCCTGCTCAGTTCAGCTTCCAGAAGCTGTGTCAAAGGGGCACATCCTGGAAGGTGATGGAGGGGAGATGGGAGGCCTGGGCAGAGGCTTCTGAGGAGACCCTCTTGCCACCCCTGTCTGTGTTGGTCATCAGCCTGCCAGGCCAGGACCAGCTCCTTGCCTGCCAGACTTGGGTACAGCTCGAGGGGGTGGCCTCTGGGTCTAGTCTTGTAGTCAGTTGTGAGAAGGGTATGGGGAATGATGAGGAGCCTCCAGGGTCCTCCCCAGTGCTTGCCACCCCTACTCCATGACACCCACCTCAGAAAGACCCTCACACCCTCCAAGGCACCACCCACCGCCTACCCCACTATACAAGACACTCAGTCCCCAAGTTCTCGCCCACCTTGTCCCCCACACACCAATCCAGACAGACTTTTAGTCCCCAATGCCTTGACCAGCCTCCACCCCATTGCACAGACCTCAGACTCTTGGCCTCTCTAGTTGCAGCCCATCCTCCCCCATTGACTCCAGTGACCCTCCTGGGACACTTGTTGTTAAGTGCCATCAAGTCAGTTCCAATTCATAGGAACTATAGGGCTTCCAAAGAGCAGCTGGTGAGTCTGAACCACCGACCTTATGGTTCAGTTCCACCTTGCAGTCCAGTGCATTAACCCACAGCACCACACCAAGACTCCCAAGGGACAAGTTGTTGTTGTCTGACCCATAGCGACCCTATGTGGAGTTTCCAAGGAGCAGCTGGTGGGTTTGAAGGGCTGATTTTGTGGTTCAAACTGACCTTGCAGTCCAGTGTGGTATCCTGCAGTACCACACACTAGGCACCCCCAAAGTCCCATCCTCCCACCCCATTCATTGCACTGACCCCAGAGGGATACTTCTCCCCTCCGCAGACCTCATACCCCCAGCACAAGCCCAGCCGGCTGGCAGCTGGTACTACCCAGACAGTAATGGGGCCTCGCTCTAGCCCCCGGGCTCCTCCTGATCTGCCAGCCACAGCATCTGGGGCCCAAGCAGCCAAGGTCTAGAGGTGACCACCAGGCGGAAATGTTAAGGGGCTTTCAGTTAAGAGGATTTGGGGGCTCCCCCTTAACCACCATCTGCCAGGATTAATCCCATCTCAGATCAGTTCCCTGGGCCCCTCCTCCTCGGCTCCAGCCATACCAGCCTCCACCCGAGTCCTTCCCACAGACTTGCCTTCCGTCCCTGTGAACGCTCTGACCTGGGTTTTCCCCGAGCTGTCGTCTTGCTTCATTCATCCCCCAAATATTTATGCAGCACCCCTGTGGCTAGAAGGCGCCCTGGGGACCCAGTGGCTAAGTGCTCAGCTGACAACAGAAAGGCCAGCAGTTCGAGCCCACCAACTGCTCAGTGGGGGAGAGAACAATGTGGCATTTGGCTTCTATAAAGATAGCAACCTTGGAAATCCAATGGGGAAGTTCTGCTCTGCCTTCGAGGCTCACTATGAGTCAGAGTCCACTCAACGATGGCCAGGGACCCTTCTTGAGTAGATCACCCCCATGCCCTTGTAGAACTGACCTTCAAGGTAAGGGATTGTGGTTAGGTGCCATTGAATTGATTCTGACTCCTGGCGACCCCAGGTAAGTAGAACTGCCCCACAGGGCTTCCTAGGCTATGGTCTTCAAAGGAGCAAATTGCCACGGAGCCACTTGGTGGGATTGAACCATCAAACTGTAAGTTAGAAGCCGAGGGCTTAACCATTGGGCTCCCAGATAAAGAGACAACATAGAAATCAGTATTTCTAGTTGCTGTGGATTCCAACCTTTCAGAAGCAGACCGCCAGATCTGTCTTCCAAGATACATCTTGGTGGGTTTGAACCACCAACCTTAGTAGTCAAACACTTAACCATTATGCTATCCCTCTGAACCCTAGCTACCTGCCCCAAAGTCCAGGCTTTATCTAGGAGCTCCTAAAGAGCCAAGGCTCCTAAAGGCTGAGGAGGCAGGCTTACAGAATGTGCCCTTTAGTGATATAAATTATTACATATGCCTGAGTGTTTAAAACAAAAAGCTAAAATGAATAGAGAGAAATACTGTTAACTGATGGTACATGGAGGGGATTATAATCATTGTAATGAAGCAAGGTATATGATTTGCTGAATGTAAAACTGATGATCTGTCCTGTAAACTTTCATTCAATCCACAGTAAAAACATTAAAACAAGAAAGAACTAACTGGATGATGTTCAGTCTAAGTTCAGGGGCCTAGAGGAAGAGGAGCCAGAATTTGGGTGGAGAAAGTGCCCTGAGATGCCCCACCCCGTAAGAAACAGAATCAGGTGTTCCAAAATATGGGGACAAGGAGAGCAAGGATTTCCCAGGAGATGACGCTTACTCGGGATTCAAAGTCCAGGGCAGCTGGGCTCAGGCCAGTAGCATAAGCCAGATTGCAGAAGGAGGGAGTGCCGAGTCAGTTCCCTGCCCAGGCATTACCCCCACCCTCAAAGGCAGCCTCACCCAGGGGAGACTGAGTCCCAGTGACCACAAGAACCCTTCTAAAGGACTCTCATCACTTCTTTACTGAGACCAACAAGGAGTAACACCT